ACACACACATATATATATATATATATATATATATATATATATATATATATGTATATGTGTGTACATCTGCATTTTATTTTAATTTTTATTTACAAATTTTTACTGACTTATCTCATTGGGATTTAAGAACTCAACAGCAATGACTGGGATTGTGTCAGTGTTCAATAAAGACAGTTTAATTTTCTGCTTTTTTTCCCCCCCTCACCATAGAATGGATGAAGATAGCATTTTTCATTTCTTCTCTGAAACCTTTCTCTGTTGCATTCCAGACTGCGGCACCAGGCCTTACAAGATGAACCGCATCGTGGGAGGGCAGAACGCTGATGTTGGGGCGTGGCCCTGGCAGGTCAGCCTTCACTTCCTGCAGTTTAGCCATCAGTGCGGCGCCTCAATCATTTCAGAGAGGTGGCTCCTGTCCGCCGCTCACTGTTTCGTCAACAACTTGACCCCAGAGTGAGTCACAGATGTCTTGCACCTACAGGAATGCACAGAGCTAAAACAAAGCAACTTTTCAGATCTTCTCTTCACATCATACCTTAACATTTTCCAAGGTGGATTCAACTGGAAAGAAAAATACTAGCAGTCTACAACAAATACAGCATCTCTCCCTTACAAATCAGCATTTCTTACTGTGTTCACCTCAGCAGCCTGTTGGTGGTGCACTAACCATTCTGTTCAGCTTGAACACGGTCATAATACATTCATTTATGACGGCTGCGGAGCTTGATTTTTTTCTTTTCAGACTTGTGTACAATGCTGAAATGGTTAAGTTAATTAGGACATAACCATCGCAAGGTGTTGAATATTAATATTGTGAGACATTGAGTCAGTTTCACATCCATTTAGTGACCTTAGTGCAAGCATTGCATACAGCACACATTTATTTGCATAAAAACGATGCCCTTGAACTTTTTACATGATCAAAATCTCATTCAAAACATTTTGTTGTGATATGTTGTAGGTCAACATATCACAACATAAAAATGATACATGGCTTTCTATATATTTTTGAAAATATGTATCGGAGGCAAACATCGACCCCTTGCTTTCAGGCCTGCTTTACTGTAAGCCTAAATTAAATCCAGTGCAACAAACAGTCAAGTCTCCTAATTAGCAAACAATCTACATGCACATAGTTTGATCCCACGTTAATGCAACACTTTTATGAAGACCTCAGAAGTGTACTAAGAACATTGATGAACAGATAGTTTTATGAAGACCAAGTAAAAAAATTGTGAAGAAGTTAAGGGGCAAGGTTATAAAACTTTATCCTACGTAAGCTATAAACATCTCCCAAAGCACTAGTTTTTTCAGATGGTCCCAGAAAGTTCCCAGAAACTTAACACAAATGGAAAAACTACCAAGAGCTCACCATCTACCTGAACTGTGCAAGCAGAGCATACATGTGAGAGAAAAACAGCAGAGATTCACAGTTCAAGTTGAAGATTCTGTTCACAGCAAATCCATTTGTTATGCATTCCACAAATTTAGCCTTTATGGTCAGGGTGGAACAAAATCTATACCTTTCGGGAGTGGCAGCAGTATGCCGTGGGGATGTTTTTCTTTCAAGGGGCAATGAGTTTTTAGGCACATAGTGCCATTTTATAACACAATTAAGTAACCGTTAACCTTCAGTGATAAAAAAATGCTATACATTTCACACAACATAAGAGATTTGACTTCGTAATTTGACTCCTTGAAATTGGGCCTAATCTTTCTAACACTCTGTTGTAGGTTCTATCTTTTCCTCCATCTCTTTTAGCCTCTTTTAACTGCTTACACACATATACTGTAGCTTACATAGCCATGTTTACGTGTGACTGCCAGCAGTCACACGTATCAGATTGAAACTGATTAGACTACCCTTTAGGGAGGGTACAGATTGCAACAAATAAAAAGCTAAATTCGCCTCACTTGGTTTCATCCATAAGGTGAGCTAAGGGTGGCCCCAGAGCTGGACGGTGAATGTAACTCTGTACATTAATGTAACCTGTTCCACTGTTTAAAGTTGATGGGAAGATAGAAGAAGTTAAAGCAGTGAATTCCTGGAAGAAACCTTTCTTGATGCTGGAAAGACTTGAGGCCAGGGTTGGGAACTGTGACACAATGGATGTGGATACTTTTGCAAGGCACAGAAAATGATTTACTTCATGTTTCTTATGCTTTTACAGCCATAGTGATCCCAACAACTGGCTTACATACAGTGGTTTGCAGAGCCAATATATGACAGAGGTCGCTGAGCGCCGTAAGGTGAAGAGGATCATTCCTCACCCGGATTACAATGAAATTACACATGACTATGACATTGCACTACTGGAGCTCGAAGAGGTGCTGACGTGGAGCAACACCATCCAACCGATCTGCCTTCCCTTTCCCTCCCATGTCTTCCCTGCCGGATTGTCCTGCTCTGTCACGGGCTGGGGCGCACTCCGGGAAGGAGCTACTGGTAAGAATTCTCTGTAGAATTATGGCCATATTCTTCTTTTCCTTACTTTTTATTATTGCAAATTTGAATAATGTTTTTGGCTCTCAGTTATGGCTAATTTAGCCTTTCATCATATTTTTTCTTTGTGGTGTTTCCTAAAGCCATTGACTTTCCTTCATCTCCATCTCACCTAATCATGATTCCTTCCTCCCCTATACTGTCGCTCGTATTGTTTCCCATGTCTCCCAACATGACACACTTTACTGCTGCTTTGTCACGCTTCCCTTTTGCCTTACCTTTTTTTCTGATCTGCTCCATTCACTTAAGAGACATCCTCTGTATCCATAAGTCAACATGAACTCCCACTCCGAAGGGACGTTTCATAACCCTCTGTTAGCAACCTCTAATCCAGGCCATTGACACCTTTAATGTTGGCCATGAACAATAAGCTAACATGGCCAGAGCCGCTGACCTCTCTCTTATCATTTTTGCAGCTTCGCTGCCATCTATGCTGCAGGAAGCAACAGTGAAAATCATCAATGACACAGTGTGCAACCAGGTCATAACTGAACAACAGGTCACCTCCAGGATGCTCTGCAGCGGATTCCTGAGAGGAGGAGTCGACGCTTGCCAGGTGAGACCGTGCAAAATTTTCCTCTGGAAAGGAAAGCGAGAAATTTTCACACCTTTGTAATTGCTGTGCCATCACAACCTAACACAATCATGATGATTTTACTTGCCCACCTGTGGCGCTCACCAGGGAGACTCCGGAGGCCCTTTGTCGTGCCAGGAGGAGAATGGGAAGTGGTTCCAGGCCGGCATTGTGAGCTGGGGCGAGGGCTGTGGCCGTCGGAACAAGCCCGGAGTCTACACCCGCGTCACCAAGTTCCGAGAATGGATCAAAAAGGAGACAAACATTTGATGAACATGATGTGTGGAGCAGCAGCAGCAGGAAAGATTGCAGTGCTAGAAATGCTGGAAACAGAACATTTTAGCATGGTTCAGGCCAAGTCTTTTTGAGTTTTATCTATTCTTAGCAGCCGGCTGAGCATACTGTTGCATGGGCCCAGCTGTTCACATGAATGACTTTAAGCACTTTATGTGGTTGGCAACCTCCCACAGGAACTCCACAGACTCAAGTTTTGTACATTTTCTAAAGGTGTTTCTTAGCAGTGTGTCATGCTGCCATCTATTGAAGCAATACTTAACTGATGGATACAAGCCGCAGTGTGTACAAAAAATGAAATATGTATGATTTGGGGATACTTTTTCGCCCATTGGTTGTTTGGTTTAACTTTTTAAATGTTTTACTTGGCTTTTTAAAAACAGATTTTCTTTGTGTACAGTGCCATTAGTGAATTTTATTTGTAAGATTTTTCCATTTCCTATACCCAAACTAATTTGATCTTACTTCCTGACATGCAGTTAATGTTCCACCATTCTTTCATAGCTTTAGAATTTAACTTAAAATATAAACAAAACCACACATTTGAGGGGGAATGGGTGGAGTGGGGTGGGGGGGGGGGGCAAAGTAAACCTCAAAAATCCAATAAGGAAAAATGGACCAACACCATTTATGTACAGTCATTTTCATGTTATGCTTAGATTGCATAAATACCAGGAGCTGGCTGCAATGGAAGGCAGAAATTGCATTAATCAATCTAAAAGCCTGTGATTTGCTTTGGAAAATGGCCAATGGTTAAAGTATGCCAGGTTTGTTAGTGGTGGGCCAAACTAGGCAAAAATATCACAGCGGTTCTTGAATAATGGTTCTGGAATCTGTGTGTGTGTTTTTTTTCCCCATAAGTATTTTCCTGTTTTTATATCTCCATGGTTACTGGCTTTTGTCTAAATTTATAAGTATTTTAAAGTATGTTATATATAAATTGGTGGGTGGAGGATCCAGCTGGTTTTAGCAGACCAAGTCTATGATTAAAGCTCAGGATGACAGGTGTCTTTTGTTACAGACGCCCAAGAGATTAACCCACAGCCAAGAGTATTTCTACTCAAAACCAATTTGACAGGATAACCAATTTTAAGCCTGACTTGTTTTGGGATAAACTAGCAAAACCAAAGGTGTGAATGTGTATTCTTTGCAAAAAGTATTGGGGAGGACTAGGCATGGGTTGGTGTGTAATTCTCTCTTTAAGACACATTGGCTGTAAATTAAAGCAAATATCCCTATCTTTGTCTGACTTTTTTTTCCTTTAAACCTCACCAAAAAGATGCTTCAACTTTAATTCTGCTTGACAATGTGTTTATAGACCAAAAATGATGCAAGGTCCTAATTTTAAAACGTATAGATGGGGCCTAAATTAACTTTCAGAATTTAATCTGCCAATGTTCACACTTGAACAAAGAAACATTATCATCCAAAATGCTTTGTATAGGGATGTTCAATCCCTATAGTAAACCATGGCAGCATCATGCTCCAAGTTACCGTCTTCCACAGGAATGGGGAAGTTGGTTGGAGTTATGGGGGAGACAGATGGAGGTAATTAACATGACGTCACCTGTCAATCATTCTAGGGCGTTTTTAAGCACGTGACAACCGGCGGTCGCAATTGGTCTGGAAGCACGTGTTCCTTATCTGGAGGAACTGAACCTGCCTCGATGGTGCTGGGGTTCGTCATTGCTAACGTGCTGACGTCATGGAGATTTCGGGGAAAATAATAGGAAATTGTGGTCCAACGTTGCCCGTGGGGAACATCCCAGCAGCCGTTATCCAGAGGACGGACTACAATTTATTACATTTCCAAACCCCAAACGCAATCTGGAATAATGCAAGAGATGGATGAAGGCCTGTAGCCGACCTCATGTCCAAATGAATGAAACTGATGACAGCAACTACCCCATGTTCATCTGCACGAAGGTAAAAGTTCATCCCTTTTTTTTTCGTCGTAGCAACACTTTTTGATAGTCAAATCAAAGATCATACGTGAAGCCACTTATGCTTGATTTTATTTGTGCAAATTCTCAAACGAGCACCTGAGTCATTTTGCTAATGAGACAAAAGTCTCGGGTAAAGCGTTAAGTCATTCTTCTTCTTTTGTGTTTTATTGGCGGATGGCAACCAACTTAAGGTGCATTTACCGCCATCTACCGGACTGGACTGTGGTCCGGTAGATGCCATTAAGTTCCAGTACCTGTGCCATAATAATACTGTTTGTTGCTGCACTTCCGCAAGGGGGCGGTGCCGGTGTCAGTTTAATAGATTTGAGACTAGGAAAGCGCAATACCATCCAGTAGGACAAAAACACTAAACATGAAGCCGGAGCTGGGTTTAATTAAACAATACTAAGTCACCTTTTGTTATAATGGTATGTAGGTAATTTATTAATCATTTTAATTTGGAGACGAAGCTAAACAAAATATAAACACCAGCTAAAATAGCTTACAACATAAGCAATTTTCAAAGGTTTATGTTATACATTTTGGTGTTCTGCTTTGTGATACTGAAATTACGTCAAGTTGGTTAATTACCAGGAGTGTCTGTTTAGCCACCAGGCAGTCGCTTATTCAACATCAATTCTATCCATAGTTTGCCAATTGTAGGTTTAACAAAAACTATGAGTGTTGCTCTTCAAGTTTTTGTCTATTTTTCAAAAGTCATGGCCTTTTTTCAGCCAACTGACGGGTGAAGCACAGCAACAGGTAAAGGAGGTCGCTAACTTTACTTTTTGAAATATTCCCGAATACAATTAATACTGGGGCACTTTGTTTGGCATGTCAAGAAATGGCCTTTGAACCACAGCTGAATAACTTCCAGGATTCACTGGAGCCTGCTTCTTTATTGGAAATGGTTTTATTTAAATATAAACATTTTAGCACGTTTTAAGCTGCAGGATGTTGAGATGTAGCATCTGTATACCTTGATTCTAATTACCAAGCCGTGCTTAGATGGGAGACTGGTTTTAAGTTGTATATTGTTTCTAAATGCTCTGACTTGGACTTATTTATCGGTTTGTTTTTATGTTTTTCATATTAAAGAACTATGTTAATAAACCCCTTTTATCTGATTGTGTAGTTTCGAAACGCATCACCTGCTTTGCCCGTCTTTGACACTGTCTTGTTTTGTAGATTATGTTGTACATAATAAATGCATGTGTTGGGAGAGCTCATACCTTCTCACAGTGGAATTGTAATGAGGATGTACCTCTCCTCCCTGTCGTGAGCAGCCTGCATACCTGGGGAACTGTGGTGACAAGACAAGCTCATATTGTCAAATAATACCTTCCTTTGTCACAGCTCTATCTTATTACCCTACCAAATGGGCATGTTGACTTCAGGAGGTGGATACACATATAGTGGGGGTGGTGGGGGATCTACTGTCTCATCTGTCTTCATTAAAGTCACAGCAGCAGTGGGAGAATTGGAAAATCAACATAGACAGTGCTGCTAATTTATGTATTCATCACTTTTGCTACATGGGATGCTTTGTTTGTCGATGTGAAGCCGTAGCTGAATAACTGCCAGGATTCACTGGAGCCTGCTTCTTTATTGGAAATGGTTTTATTTAAATATAAATATGTGTACAAAGGTACAAGCAACAATAGCTCATTTCTAGCAAATAAAATTCTTAATACATTAATATAAGAATGAACAAAGAAATGGCAATTAGTTGTGTTCAAATGAAAGAAAATGAGCATTTCAACTGCATTCGATGATTGAACAACTCCGATGTGAAATTCTGTGATAACCACAAAAAAACAAAACAAAAACAAAACAAAAAAAACAACAAAAGACAGATTACATATGTATATAAAGATACTTTACAATAGAGCAGCTCACAAGCTGTACTTTAAGGCTTATATAAAATATAAAAATAAAAGACAAGCGATGATGTTGGCCTCCTCTCTTTCAGCGACATTTTGTTCTCTCGTCAGGCTGCCCTGGCACTAGCTCGCATAGACAAATGGCAGTACGGAAAACATCCAGGTTGTGAGACGCAATGGGATTGGGTGCGGAGAATCCGATACGCTCAACATGAAATGGAGATGAATATAAATGCTGAAAATTTGTCACAAGACACATCGTTTGCATGCAACAGAGAGAGAGAGAGCAAGAGCCGTTTGTACAGATGCGCAGTGTTTCAGGGTAGTACTGGTTCTTGTAAACATGTTGAGACAATTCGATTGAGTTGTAAAACTTTTAAACGGTCCACTTTAGGACCACCACTGATGCATCACTTATCCCGTCTGAGCCTCCAGAAGTTGACGTCACGTTCAAGTGTGTTTAATGTTCAAGATTGCCAACATTTCCCTCAACACCACTTTTGATTGTTCTTTTAAGATCTTACCATTTGTTTTACAATCAGAAAACAAAGTTGCTTCCCCCCCCCCCACCTCAAGCGTTGGCCCATACTTTTCCCCATACAGTTCTTTCCATCTTTGGAATTTCATGGCCTAACCTTGTCCAACTTGTACAACATAGTTAATATATACTGTACACACATTCCCCTTGTATTTCTGTGTTATCCGCTGGCGAACAACACTTTGATGTCCAAAACCTGTTATTATCAGAAGACGCCTCAGGAACACGGCTAAGTTCAGATGTATTCCAGTGATTACGCCTCATACAGTACAGCGCCTGCAGCACTTGTTGGTCAGTACAGCTAGCCTGTTGTGCAGTATAGGATAAGCCTGTCTTTGTCAATAGCTGTCTTTTGTTAATGATAGAAACACGAATGTGCTTAGAATTGCTTTCGCATGCCAACAAGACACCAAATGACAGACAACACAAGGCTGTTCATATTGTTTTTTTTTTTCTTTTTCCTTGAACATGTTTTAGCTTTGTGAGATCTTCTTTCCCAGTCTCCATGAGGTCATTTTTGACATTTAGTGTTGACTCAAAGTTAAGTACTGGAATGCAGGTTAAAGGATATGCCAGCTGAGATGTAGCATTGTTCCAGTTGGCCATTTTCATGTTCAGAAAATTAAAACCCAGTGAGGTATCACACACTGCTAGATTTTCCATCTTGGCATTCATCACAGGTTATCCCAAGACTGTCCACGCAAATCCTTGCAGGACCGTGTGAGTAAACAAAGTCTCTTTTCATGTTAGTTCAGCCACAAATGTGGTATCTACTCACTTCTATTTTGCTGTTAACATTTTTTTTTTCTGTTCAATCAGACATGAGTCTGCATGCGTTGAGTCTGCCGGCCATAGTCAGACTGCTGGGAGGACACTTGAGAGGAGGCGTAGGAGAAACGAGATGAGCTTGATACCTTGCTGGCCTGATCTGATTGGTCGTATGCATCAACCTTCTCGTAGGAAGCCGGCTTGACATAACTGGTGAAGGCACGACCGTAGGTGGCAGGAAGGTAGGCTGAGCCACTGTAGAGGGGATCTGTGGGATATATGGTAGCTGTTTGGGTGGGCGACTGTGGCTGCTGCTGCTGGGCTGGTGGCTGCTGTTCATACGAAGATCGACTCACAGTATTAGTGGCGTATCGGTGGGAGAACTCGTAGATACGGGGCTGAGAGCCATGCTGGCCGTACATGGGGCTTGGAGAAGGCAGCTGTGATGGCGTGTAGACCGGCCGGGAGTTGGGCACGTACTCTGAGAAGCCACTGTTGCGGATGTGACGGTCATCGTGGCCCCTGACATTGTAATATCCGTTGGTGGGGTCCTATGATTAAGACAGAGGGGAATGTAAATCAATAATGTCAAATATGTACAAAATGTTTTGTTCATGTGCAAAAGCTGAAAAAACAAAAATGTACATGGTCCACATTTTTTCATGTTATAACCGCAAACCCTTGTGTTGTAGATCAGTTTCACAACCTTTACAGCCTGAAACCGGTCTTCCTCTGGGTTCACTTACTATTGATGCCCCTTTTCAACTAGAACCTACTCAGTACAACTCAAGACTATACTCTGTTTGATAGAGTAAAGACATTATTTATTGTCCCACAAAATTAGGTCTAACAGCAACATGATTTTCCACTAACACTATGTGATAACATGGTGCTTTTATTTGCTTTTGGGCTGAAAACGCAACATCGTGGCAATGGTGGTGGGAGTTTGTCCAGCAATTGGTGGGTTGCCAGTTTGATCCCCACTCTGTCAGCCTCTGTGGTTGTGTCCCTGACCAAGATAGCCCCCAGGGCAGCTGTGGCTATTATCCAGTCTATCAGATTGAACACTCCAAATTATTATCAACAGGATAATGAAATTATTGAAGTTTATGATCACATAATAAAATGTGGGAAATGGGTATGAACACTTTTTCAAGACAGTTTACTTGCTATACCGAAAGTGTCTTTTCAAGTCTTTTAAGTTTTACCTTGATGTCCGATCTTTCGTCATCCTCCTCCTCCAGGAGGTCACTGTGTTCTGTGCGAGATGTCCCTGGAGACTCGCTGCTGTTGGGAGCCTGAGGGAAGACCAAGCATTTCTAAAGAATTACAAGAACGAACAAGACCTTGCTTGAATAGGAACAAAAGAAAAGTTTGAAGTTTCTGCTTCAATGTTAATGTAACCCCTGTCTTTCTAGTTCCCATCACTGTCTGACACACAGAGAAGGTAAAAAAAAAAAAAAAAAAATCAAACTTACCATTGGTTCTTTGACATCCTCCTCATCATCGTTGCCACGAGTAGCGTTGTGATCGCTGTGAACAATCTGAACCCTGATATCACTCTTGGAAAGTCGAGTGCATCTCTTACCTGTGGGAATTGAAAAGGGTTTTTACTTGACACGTCATGGCAAGTTTCTAAATTTACATATCGTTTTAAGTGTTTTAATATAAAGCCACAAAAAAACTTTCACTGTTCAGAAGAGGAAAAAAAAAAAAAAAACAATTGTTTGATTTGAAGAGTTTCCCATCTTGCCCATACTGACCGTTGAGCTCACCTTTGCCTGTGTGTCG